AACTCAAAAATTGCTGTAGAAGATAATTCACTCGTCGGCTTACTTTGATTTGAGAACATTATAGTTGTTTACTGTTTATGAAATGTACCCATTCCAGAAATTGCCCATTTCAAGTTTTGAGGAAAATCGTGTACTCATATTCCGACCTGTCCCAGCAAGCTGCATTGTTTTTGTTTGCGTAGTAAGACATATTTAAGCTCTGCTTTTACGTTATTCGGCAAAAAGAGCTCATAGTTGTAAGTAGAATTATGCATTTTCCGTAGGTTTTTGTTGCTTTCCATATTGTTTTTGAAACTGCTCTCATCGGAGTGGCAGAGGGAGGTTTAGCGACAGGCTTTCAGCATTTCCATTAAACCACCTCGAAAATTAGACGAACACTTCTTGCGGTCAAAAAAACTGCTAGAAATGTCGCTCTAATTTCCGGGATGGATGAATGGAAATGTAGAAATACAATGCTTGGATATTTGGAGGCGGGTTAAATGGGGCTCAAAAAAGTGTGAGTGTCAGGGAGGATATTTATGGGAAACAAAATAAAATCAGTGATTTCAGATAAGTCACCTTACGAAAGTCGCGGTTATTATTTGGAATGCATCAAATTCGCGACGCAGTACTCAGACCACCTTTCGCTGCTAGTCATCCTTCAGGTAATTTCACATTTTCTATTACAAATGTATTTCGTTTGATGTTCTTACTTTTATACAATTCCTCGCTCAGCAGTTAAGTAATAGTCGTATTTCTTGCCACTGGTACCACTGGCAGCTTCTCCATTCTTCTCTCACCGGGCTTTCTTACATTCTTGTTATCCCATACATTCAAGGGGGATCCTTCCACACGTCCAGGAGGAATCCTTTCACCGCATTGGCGGCTTTCCTGAGTTCTTGTGACATCGGTAACATTCATTAGTCCATTTTGCCCATCTGTTCCCCATTGTTCTTGCTACTCAGCCGGCCCAGCACTGTTTTTTGCGGTTTACGCTCTTTTGATAATATTGGTCAAGGCAGACCAAATTAAATTTTTTTGCTGATTTTTTTGTTTTAATTAAAGGCGTAAGTATCTGAGCCAGAAATCTGTTAATTTGCAGTTCATGGCTGTAGCATTAGATGGTGAATGTCTTCTTTTGGCCGTGAAGGTGGACGATGCTTTTGCTGTACGAGTACTTCTACATCACGGAGCGCCAATTTCTTATCAAGTAATGTTAATTTTTATGAGCTCTCTTTAGCCGACTGAGAAACTTCGCTCACACTGTAATGTTTTTACAGAATAAGTCCGGCGAAACGGTAGATTCATTGCATGAGGCGTTTCGACAGCGAAAGTATGCGGCGGCCGAAGAGATACTGAAATTTCTGAATTATCGCAGCGCACGTTTGGTT